ACAACCTGTGTACTATAGATTTTTTTTTAAAATTATGCAAATTCGTACTTCATGAAGTTAATTTGTATATGATGGTTCGAAAAATGCAGTTATATTGCCTTTCGTCTGTTGCTGCTCAGACATGGTAATAATACGTGTTTGCTACACCCATATGCAGCTACCACGTTTAGTGGCTTGACAGCAAGGATCATTCAGTGTTGGGAAAAACGAGACACACAGAAACAACATTATAGTCACCACAGTCAGTCGTTACTCTGTTTTGGGGAGAACTCGTACGTACGTCTGTAATTTTTTTGGTTCAATGGCAGCTTACATTATTTTCTTTTGCCATGTTGAATATCATAATAATATACGAGATCTGTCCCTGAAGAAAGTTTCCCTTCCCTGTTCTGCAAAATCATCAATTTTTAGTTTACATAGATATAATTCTGCATCGGGTACATACCCACAAAGACAAGTTTCTATTTAATAAAACTAACTTCGAACTCAATAAACTCCGTCATCCGAAGAAGGTAGCGGTCAAACCATGTGACCATATCCGCTTCGGCCAGGGTCCTCTCGGCAGCATTTGTTTCAAACACAATTTCTTCCTCGTCTTCTAATTGCTGCCCCCTTTAGTCCTTTGAATTTGGGGAAGAGATTACAGTCGCATTATACTAAGCTTGGAGAATAGTGGGGGTGTTCAAGGATTTCCCTCTGCCAGGAGTCCAGGAGATCGGTGACTTTTCGAGCAGTGCGCCTTGGCGTGTTGTCATGATGAAAGACAACACCTTGCTCAAGCAGACTGATTCCTGGCCTCAGCTTTTGTTTGAGGAATATATTATAGTAATAGTCAGCATTAACTTTCGTTTTGACGGGAACCGCCAGTCAAAAATCGAAAAACAGGATGTGGATCAGTTTCAAAGCATTTTACTTTTGTCAGACTTTCTGGGATCATACTGCTTTTCAGTTCTGGATCCCACGAGTAGACCCATTTTTCATGACATGTTATGATTTTTAAAAAAATCCTTTATTTCATACCCACGGCGACCGAAAAAAACCCCAACAAATGAAAGGCTAGAATGTGATGTTTGCGTTGTCATCAAATCCATGTTCTATTAAGAGAAATCATATCCGACAGTGGTCCTCTTGGACTGTGTTATTATGATAAAGAAAAACGCAAGGGGTAAATGGAAATGGTCGTTTGTACATGTCTGTGATTGTCTTGGACAGGTCGTCGTTACAGCGGTTTTGACTGCATTTAATTAGACTCATTCAAAAAGAACATGATTTAAACTTACACTGTTTCCAAAGAAAGAAGTAGACGAAACATATCATCATCATCATCATCATCATCATCATCATCATCATCATCATCATCATCAT